TTTCATCCTGGGCACAGTGAGATCCACAGATGCACATCATACACTAGCCCTGCAAACACTCCAAGAGCAAAGAGAACAGCTGTACCTGGACTTTACAGTCTCCCTCTTCAAGTCCACCTTCTGAGGCTGGCTGCCTGTCGAGGGAAAGTGACTGGCAGAACCACCTGTAGCACCCACCTCTTCTCTATCCCACACACCAGAACTAAGAATTAAAAAAAATGCACCCATACCCTACTTCTGCCAAGACTGCCCCCTCTCATATGTACTTTATGTACTTATCATTCATACTTCTGTTTTCTCAACTAAATTGAATGTTATTGTTTATGTGTTGATGTTAGTCTATACTCATGTATTGCAGTCTATAACTGCATGTGGGCATATTCAATAAAATCAACAAGTTCATGACACACCTGTTCCACAAAAAACAACTTTTTCATGTTTTAATCTTAAATATTGCCAGGTTGTTTTTTTCCACAGGGTGTTCATTTAATTAATTGTTGTAAAACCCTTTTGGTATTTGTGAGTTCAACATTATTCAACTGTCTGTTGTGTCCTGCATTATATTCAACCACAAGTGTACTGCTGTAATACTGAGCTATGCCTATGCCATGTGTTGGAGGAAGGGAGGTGTAAGGGTTAGTGTGAGGTGTGACCCAGGTGTTGTGCAGGATAGACAGTAGGCAGTAGGCAGAGATGGTGAAACAAGGATCTTTACTGGTGGTCCCAAAGCCAGGATACAAAACAACGTACTTAACATGATAAAAGAAAGGTGGAGCAAATAAGTCTCCAAAAACAGGCAGACAGCCAAAATACGAAATAGTAACTACGACTGAAATAATAAAGAAACAGGGAGAACACTTCTCGAGTACCTGTACATACTTCTCCGATCAGACACTGATTAGTACTGCTGAGCATAGAGAAACTAGCAGAGAAAACTGAGCAAGGGAACACAGGGAAGTAAGGGCATAAATACACAGGTGAACAGGTTGACACAGGTGACACCAATAGGATAATGATTAGTCCAGACTGTGAGTAAAGAGGTGCCTAAGGTTGACACCTAGTGGGTCGCTCCGGAACTGCGACCACCTCCTGTAACAGGGAGGTAGGGAAAAATAATCATAATAGGACTAATAGCATGCTTTAGTAAGACAAGACAAGGGAAACTCAAAATACAAATATGCTAGCCAGAGGAGCCAGTGTATGACTTGAACTGATTTGCACATTAATTAAATGTTAATAGCTTCATGGGAGCTCACTTTTTGATCTGAAAGGTAAGTTAACGTGCAGTTTACATGTTTTCTTTGCTATTTCGAAAACTAAGACCCGTGTAAGACATGACTTTTAATGTTGTTGAAATGTTAAAGGGACCCAAAGGTAGTTCAAAGTAATGTTTTCATCTTAATCAGCAAAATTGTCACGGAAATAAGCTTTGTCTACATAGCAGGGATGAAAAGAATGTCATTTTGGCTGTAATGATCTCCAAAATAGCCTACCTTGATAATAGTATTGAAGAAAGAATTGTCAATACAGAGCACAGTTGGCCATTAAATTCCTGCAAATTAACTGGCTTATGCAAAATATTTTTGTTTTCTAAGAAAATGTTTGTTTTGTCATCCCCCTAAATTCTACTTTGGTCTCAGAATTATGGGTGTTTATTATAACACATTCTACTGCAATCTTCTAACACAGACGCACAGTGGCGCTTTAGAAACAATTAGGCTACTGTCATCACTGTAATTATGGAAACAAATGGCCAGCCCCAACAAACAAACAGCTTAACACAGAGCCACACAATACAGACAGCCAACACTGCTGGAAGAAAAGCCAATTTAGAAAAACGCCAAAAGAGGAGTCAGTTTACGTTTGGAAAAATCACTGAAACTGAGAGAGAAGAGAACACACACAATTACACACATTGTTTTACTGACATTTTTTAGCCAGAATTCAGAACAAAAATCATGAATATTTGCATTCACTTCCTTATCTGGGTTTTTACATTTGTCTGTTATCAGTCCTCCAGCTAGGCATGACTTGATAGGGAGAGGAGCAGAGACAGCAGCAGCACGTCATATGCATACTGCTAATGAATGTCTTCTTCTGAGGCGGACGTCATGCCTTGGCTAGAACTTTATCAACGTCTAGGAATTTGTCTCATCTCAGAAATCTCTTTTAATTTAATGCAACTCAACATACAAACATGGTCTCTCTGTTTCAGCCTAGCTCAGTGCTTTCTGTGGTGGTGGGGCAGCCAGCGGAAAATACGGAGAGTAGGTGTTGGTAATGTTCTCTAGTTGTGCCGTGATTGCCTCAGTGTTTTGTCACTCATGGGGACACTACGTCACCGCCAAGTCTAAGGGTAGAGCTCGAAAATTCAAGCCCCTTGGGTGCTGCCATAAAGTGACATTAGAAGTGCCCATCCAAGAAGGCCCAAGGTCATTGGCCACAGATAAAATGACATCAAATCACGTTATATCTACAGTAGCTTTGATTGGACTGATCATGTCAACATCATACTTTAAAAAATCTTAGCTAGCAGTCATCATCATGAATCAAGTCGACAATCTACTGGCAAATCCTTTTTAATCCTTGTCATATGAAGATAAATAATGAAGAGAAATTATAGATAAAACGTATCGGTGCTCATCGGCCATTGGACATAAACATCACACAATAAGTTGGAAATCGCAAATTCAACAATGAGGGGTTTGGAATGAATCAGTGGCTATCTGTAAGCATTGCAAAGCAATCACTAGCCTGCTATTCAGTGGAGTGGCTGTGTGGTCCCAAATCTGGGATTAAGGGTCTCTTTTCCAAGTTTAAAATGATAAACATTCAACATTGGCCATGCTGTCAATGAAGCATGATTTGTGCTGTGCTCAAAACAACTGTTAACTCGGAACTGCGAAAACTTTACTTCAGTGAGTTGAAGACATCTGGGAACTCGGGAAAAAACTAGCTCTGACTGGGAAAAAAACGTTTTGAACGGTCATCCAACTCGGAATTGTAAATCCGGAACTCGGGCCTCTTTCTAGAGCTACGACCTGAAGATCACTGACATCATCATGATTCAACCTTGTTTTTTCCAAGTTCCCAGTTGTCTTGAAAGCACCATAAATTCAGATAATGACAGATTTTGATGACAAAGTTTGATGACAAAATTTGCCCACGAAGGACCGCCGTGCCACCTTCCTGTTCAAGTGAGCACAGCACAATAAGGTAAGTCCAAAAATGTATTGTCTGCTGCTGCATAAATGAAGTAATATGCCAGGGAGATATGTATACTGTAGCTAAGAAAGTAATACTAAGTGTATGTTGTGTAGTAAGCTGTTAGTAGCCCATTTGCCTCACCCTAATAATTTGGTCTATTTTCCCCTCTTAATTTCGCCTACTGTTCTGACTTGGTGGTGCACATGTAGCCTATAACCTGTTTCAGAGAAATGTAATCATCGAATATTGTAAGAGCTTTCATTGTCTGCTCATATGCCCCCTTTATTTATCCTACGATAGCAGTATCCCTATCAGTATCAAAGGCACTCTGATGACTAATTCTCCTGTCTAGGAATCATGTTGTCTTAAACAATAGCCATATTGATATGCCCAAACTGATGTGCCTCTCATTTGAATTTCTATACATTTTGCAGTGGCAGAGAATAGTAGCAGTCTTAAAATAGAAATAATACTGCTACTATACAATTTTCACAAGCAAATTTACGACAACCAAGCTTACAACAAACAATTTTACAACAAATATTAAACATAAAGCAACACTGAATTAAAAATACTGTATAATTATGCTGATAAGCATCAATGAAATGCATGGTAGTATTGATTCATTAAATAATCATGCACAGCAATTTAACATTACACTGATTGGTTTGCTAGTACACCTATTTCTGACCCCCTCCTAATCCACCCTCTCTCTCTGGGCCTCCCGCCCCACTCAGAGGTTGGGTTGCTGCTCCATCTCCAGCAATTCATGATAATTGCCCCACACACAAACTAAACCAGTCTCAGCGAGAGAGTAGGGGAATATAGTCATACAGTCATGACAGAGGGCTGTGTGCAGTTGGGATAGGAGTCTTTATGCTGATTAAGCGATCTGCACCATTCTGTCACTACTGAAATGCTTCCTTCCTGGGAGCAGGCCATCAGCTAGGCAGCTAGGCAGGCAGCTATGCAGATGGAATCCTCCGAGGCCTCCTTATCTCTATTCTTGAGCTCATTTGAAATATTCCCCTCTACTCTCTCTTCATCACACACTGTCCACTGGGGCCCCTCGTCTGGCACCCAGTTTTATTACGCCACATATGCTCCTATCTAACACAGCCGTCCTCGATGTCACCTCAGTGTATGGAAGGATTGGGAGATTAGCTGCATCCCATATACTCCTTAAGCCTTTATCATAATGAAGGCTCCCCACACAGATGGAGGGATGGGTGAAGGCCAGACTACTTATAGGGAACTGAATATTTATAACTAGTTGGTTGGAGCAAATACATTTCAATATACCTGCTAAGATCACACAAAGGGAAGAGGCAGTACATTTGGAGCATAAGGGAATGTTTTGATTATATGCATTGTGGTATCTGGTTTGTTCTTTAATGCAGCAAATTGTTAGTGCGATTGAAAAAAAAATAAAAGTAGGCCTAGTACTTTGGATGGCATAAGACCTGCTTTTCTGGACAGGGCAAGATGAGTTGAACTCCTTTACACTCTGACACACACAAAAAAAAACACAGCCAGTATGGCAATGAGAGTACAGCCAGAGGTTAAGTATGGCCCAACGTTTCCAATAGCTTGCTTTGTACATCTTTACAATTCCCTGGCTGACAGACACATTTTCTTACCCGTGACATTATTTTAATGTACAGAACCATTTTGATGGGCAGATCTGACAGATGTGTGAGATCTGTCTGTCCATAGCAGTGAAATGAATTCCTGCAGTACCCTCCTTTTTGAGTTGTGTTCATCTCCTCTGGGACTGTGCTAGTACCTGAACCATGTGTATCACTGCCATTGCAGAGCAGAGGAGAGGAGGGGGAAAGAGGAAAGGAGAGGAGAGGAAGGGAGGAGTGGAGAGGAGAGGATATGAGAGGAAGGAAAGGAGAGGAAAGGAAAGGAAAGAAGAGGAGAGGGCTGAGTCTCCTTGTGTCATCATGGTCAATTGGCCTGTCAAACACTCATGCAGAGTTTGCCACTGGTACTATCTCTTCATAAGTAAGGTTATATCAACATTATGGGAATTCCGAATTCTTCTATGTTATCCTCCAGAGTCAAACATTGTATTTGCATCTCAAATTATCTATATAATATAGTGGATGCAACACAGTCAGATTGGCTCTTCTAGAGTATGATTAATTGCCAAATGCCAATCTATTTCTTCATGACAAAAGACCATTCTTAGGCCAGCAGGTTGTTGTTGTGCCATGACTAGCATTTAAATCCCATGAGGTACATATTAACCAGTTAACATTTCACATCTTTAACACATTTCTTGAATAAATTCAGTCCTCAATTAACAGTGGCATCCGGCCCTTCCCCATTGCTCATTCAACCGAATTAAAGTGTGTTCATTATTCTTGTTTGGGTATTATTTACACAACACTGTAACAAATTGCTGTAAATTTACAGCAAAAAAAATACAATTAGCTACTGGCTACTGTGCGGCCAGTCATTTACTGTAAAAAGTACAGTGTATATTCTCAACTGCTTATAGATAGTGATGTCTTAATGTAGACTATTCCTATGTACTACCACACTGTCCACTCTATTTCTAGTAAGACTTTCACTTTGTGTAAACATTTTAATTGATTGCATGACTTAAAATATATTTGAATGAGAACGAGCAATGTTGTTTTTCTGTTCTGTTGGATCTTGAGTGTTGATCCAGCTGCTATCATTGAAAGATGTGAGCAAGTGTGTGTGTTTAATAATTTCAGCATATGCCTCAGTGCAATATGAAATCATATAAAATACAACACTACTATATGGAGTGCATTGGATCCTTTTGTCTTCTGTATGTGTGGGTGTTCAATTAACCCAAACAGCCCAGTGCTAAGGCTCACTCTAAGCTCTGATCTGAGGACAGATAAGCACAGGACAGATCAATATGGCTGTTAAGGTTAAATTATGCAATGTTGCATGTTGTACTTTCACTGTGTGTACAGTCGATGATATTGACACTCCCTCAAGTGATAAACCCATGTTTAGTAGAACAATACTGTAATTTCAGGGCACATTTTGATGGAGATTCTGGGAACTAGAAAATAAGGCATAGAGACACATTATGTATTTGTCACAAGGTGGAAGGTGACAGGTTCTAGGTCTGGGTTGAGCAGGCAGAGTGAAGCAGAGGCAGACATCGAAGGGACCGTTTTTAACATTCATTAAGGCATGGTTTTCCATATTTAAAAGGAGTACGTCTTCATACTTGATAGTGCATAAAAGCACTGCAAAACACATGTGCCATAATTTATTTCACACAGTTAGAAAAAGGTGATGTGTCACAAAACCCCCCGCATATACTCAAATATACAAACAGGTCCCATTGCGAATACAGTGCTCCAATACCTGCTTGCAGCTCTCCCACATGGTGTCCTGCAGCAGCCAGGGCCATTTTGTATTTTGCCATCCCCTGCCTCCTCTTCACCTGGTCGACCTGTGGTAGCCCCACTCCTCCACTGGGCCGGCATCCTGACTGCCAGGCAATGATAGGTGTGACATCCAGCAGCTGCCCAGCCGTCACCTCAGCTACGCCGCTCACCCACTTTGTGGACTACTCAATCCAGCTGTTGGCAGCCCCCACAGCAGTGTTGACCTGTCCCCTTGGCTTGCACGTCCCCTTCAGCCTCAACAGGCCACACATCTCCAGCCATGTCCTTAGAGCTGCTCAGCCTTCGCCCATAGGGCACCTTAGCACACCCCAGGCCAGTTAGGTCACACAGTCTCTCAGAACAGCAGGGGATGGCTTCCTCTTCTGCCCCAGCTATCGTCAAAACCACCCATGGGAGAGACTGCAGAACTTTGGAGAACACAGAACAGTAAAAGCAAACCAAAACTGGCCCTGTTCTACAACTTTCCACTCAGTGGCCCAGATCCTGCCGACTACGCCAAATGTCACAAGGTACAAAGTGACAAGTTCTAGGTCTGGGTTGAGCAGGCAGAGTGAAGCAGAGGCAGACAATGAAGGGATAGTTTTTAACATTTACTAAGGCATGTTTTTCAATATTTCCATTTCAAACACATTCCAGTTTCTCATTTCCTTTCGATTGTTTTGTTTGCTAAAACCATAGTTAAAATAATTATACAAACCAAAACAAAGAAAACAAAGGGGCACAGGAAGTGGTGCAGTGTGGCAGGCGTCCATCTTTTCAAGACTTCCATTTAATCTTAAACAACCTCCATTAGCCATGCACTCACCAAATAACGCCCTACATGCACTAGCAAAACATAGGCTCCACCATGCCTCTGGACTGCATTAGCCTCCTGTGAGCAGCTGCCTAGAACACAAAAACAGGGGGGTTTAAATACACAGAATCCAAATCACATGACTCATCAATTATCCAATAGAAATTCTTCATCTAGATTGCATGCAAATGGGTCACACGTGACATTTTCAGTATCTTAAATAGCCTACCTTGAAGAAAGAATTGTCAATACAAAGCATAGTTGGCCAATCAATTCCTGCAAATTAACTGGCTTTAGTGATTTATGCAAAATATTTTTGTTTTCTCAGAAAATGTTTGTTTTGTGATCCCCAAAAAATCTACTTTGGTCTCAGAATTATGGGCATTTATTCTAACAAATTCTCAAATCCTGTAATGTCTATTGCAACCTTCTAACACAGACGCACAGTGGCGATTTAGAAACAATTATGCTACTATCATCACTGTAATTATGGAAACAAATGACCAGCCCCAAACAAACAGCTTAATACAGAGCCACACAGTACACACAGCCAACACTGCTGGAAGAAAAGCCAATTTAGAAAAACCCCAAAAGAGGAGTCATTTTATGACAAACTGAGAGAGAAAAGAACACACAAAATACACACTTTGTTTTACCCCTTTTTCTCCCCAATTTGTAGTTACAGTCTTGTCCCATCGCTGCAACTCCCGTACGGACTCGGGAGAGGCGAAGGTCGAGAGCCATGCGTCCTCCGAAACACGACCATGCCAAGCCGCACTGCTTCTTGACACACTGCTCGTCTAACCCGGAAGCTAGCCGCACCAATGTGTCGGAGGAAACCCCGTACAACTGACGACTGAAGTCACCCGGCCCGCCACAAGGAGTCGCTAGAGCGACAAGGACATCCCGGCCGGCCAAACCTGGACGACGGTGGGCCAACTGTGAGCCGCCTCATGGGTCTCCCGGTCGCGGCCGGCTGCGACACATCCCGGGATTGAATTCGGGTCTGTAGTGACGCCTCAAGCACTGCGATGCAGTGCCTTAGACCGCTGCGCCACTCGGGAGGCCCCTTTACTGACATTTTTACCCAGAATTCAGAAGGAAAATCAGAAATATTTGCATTCACTTCCTTATCTGGGTTTTCACATTTGTCTGTTATCAGTCCTCCAGCTAGGCATGACTTGATAGGGAGAGGAGCAGAGACAGCAGCAGCACGTCATATGCATACTGCTAATGAATGTCTTCTTCTGAGGCTGACGTCATGCCTTGGCTAGAACTTTATCAACGTCTAGGAATTTGTCTCATCTCAGAAATCTCTTTGAATTTAATGCAACTCAACTGTGATACAGTATTATGAAAAATGCCTGATATTTTCCTGTTTCTCTTTATCATAGGCACTCTGATTACTAATTAGCCTGTCTATGAATATTTAATCTGCATATTTATTCAAATCCATTGTTTGTGGAGGAATCATGTTGTCTGAAACAATAGCTAGTCAATAGCGAAAAGTGTTTTATATACTTTACTCAACACACACCAATTCTGGAAATTAGACTACTTGGGAGAGTTGCTGTGAGATTTGAGTCCCCTGTCACCCTCCTCGCACACACACACACACACACACACACACACACACACACACACACACACACACACACACACACACACACAAAGAGGCAGCCCCCCACCACACACACACACTCCCATCAAAAATATGTGAGGTAGCAATTCCCAGAGGACCTACCCCTTCCGTTTCCACCCAGCCAGGCAGTAATTTCATGGCTCGTTGCAAGTGCTAAAAGCCTTTGGGCGCTACTAACATTAACTTTTATTTGGCCCCCAGTCTTTCAATGGAGTCATTAAACCAGCCACCTGAGGTGAATAAGTCTCCGTCCTGGTAGCATTCGCCAGATCTTGATTACACACTATGTCAGGGAATAAACTTTGTTATGACAAATTTCCTTTTCTTTCCAGTTTCTCTTCTGTACTGTAGAAAACTTCCAAATGGTGTTCAAATCAGTGTAACTAGATCTCTCTCTCTCTGCCTCTCTATATGCTGTTCTTTCCCTCTCTCTCAAGGAATTGGTAACCTGTGTAACTAGATTCAGAGTTCATTCACACTTTGACATCCTTGTTTGGTACAAAGTGTCGGCTGTGGCTTCTTCCTAACCTTGATGTTTCCAAACACATCTGTTTCCTGTTTAATTGTGTTGACCCCTCAGTGTTTCACAGCACCCACTACTCTACTTAATGCAGTAAAAAACACATAGAAGTGAACATCAGAGCAGCTGGGAAGGCAAGCGGCATTCACCATATTCTCTTCTTATCTCAAAAGTCCCATATGTTTCAGTCGTATGCCTTGAATTTAAAGGAAGGGTATAACAGTGTTTTATTGCCACATAAACAATGTTTGCGCACTGTATACAACATCCATACACATCAATCAGAATTTTTGTCTGCCATAGTGAAATTCAAATTCTATAGGTATGCATTATCTGCTGTTTTCAGTGCATGCATGTTGGGGGATTTGAGTATTAGAGCAGTTATAAGCAGGTCCCTGAGTGTTAAACCTTTCCGTATACAACTGTGTAATTTACCATCTTCTCGAACCAAAACAAGACACCTGAAATATGAAGGAAAGCAAATGTTTTCAAGCAGCGCAGTTTTCAACAGTTCTACCCTCGTTTGATGCAAATAGTATTCGTAGAATTATACTGAACAAAAATATAAGATCCCAGAAATGTTCCATACACACAAAAAGCTTATTTCTCAAAGAATGTGGGCACAAATTTGTTTACATCCCTTTTAGTGAGCATTTCTCCTTTGCCAAGATTATCCATCCACCTGACAGGTGTGGCAAATCAAGAAGCTGATTAAACAGCATGATCATTACACAGGTGCATCTTGTGCTGGGGACAATAAAAGGCCACTCTAAAATGTGCAGGTTTGTCACACAACACAATGCCAGAGATGTCTCAAGCTTTGAGGGAGCGTGCAATTGGCTTGCTGACTGCAGGAATGACCACCAGAGCTGTTCCCAGAGAATTTAATGTTCATTTCTCTACCTTAAGCCACCTTCAACACCGTTTTAGAAAATTTGGAAGTACGTCCAACCGGCCTCACAATTGCAGACCACGTGTAACCATGTGTCACGATCGTCATACACAGAGGACCAAGGCGCAGCGTGGAATGCGAACATACTTTTAATTTGAATGATCACACGAACAAAACAACAAAACGATAACGTGACGTCCTTGGTTACAAACACTAACCATACACGGAACAAGATCCCACAATACACTACTGCCAAACGGCTGCCTAAGTATGGTTCCCAATCAGAGACAACAAGCAACAGCTGATTCACGTTGCCTCTGATTGAGAACCACCCCGACCAACATAGCTACACATGAACTAGAACTTAAACACAGAACACAAACACACAGAAACTACACACCCTGGCTCAACATAACAGAGTCCCAGAGCCAGGGCGTGACAGTACCCCCCCCCAAAGACGCGGACTGCGACAAACATAAACCGAACAGGGGAGGGCCGGGTGGGCATTCCTCCTCGGAGGCGGATCCGGCTCCGGGCGTGACCACCACCCTCTAATAACCCCCCCGTAGTGCCCCTGGTCTGGTCCCGCTGGCTAGAGCTGGACTGGACATCGGTGGAGCGGATTGCTTAGGCTCCGGTGTGGAGCAGCTGACCGGTACCTGACCAGGCACCGGTGAAACGGGCACGGGCTGTGCCGGACTGACGACGCGCACCACAGGCTTGGTGCGGGGAGCAGGAATGGGCCGGACCGGGCTGACGACGCGCACCCCTGGCTTGGTGCGGGGAGCAGGAACGGGCCGGACCGGGCTGACGATGCGCACCACAGGCTTGGTGCGGGGAGCAGGAACGGGCCGGACCGGGCTGACGATGCGCACCACAGGCTTGGTGCGGGGAGCAGGAACGGGCCAGACCGGGCTGACGACGCGCACCATAGGCTTGGTGCGGGGAGCAGGAATAGGCCGGGCCGGGCTGGCGACGCGCACCATAGGCTTGGTGCGGGGAGCAGGAACAGGCCGGGCCGGGCTGGTGACGCGCACCATTGGCTTGGTGCGGGGAGCAGGAATAGGCCGGGCCGGGCTGGCGACGCGCACCATTGGCTTGGTGCGGGGAGCAGGAACAGGCCGGGCCGGGCTGGCGACGCGCACCGTAGGCTTGGTGCGAGGGGCAGGAACAGGCCGGGCCGGGCTGGCGACACGCACCATAGGCTTGGTGCGGGGAGCAGGAACAGGCCGGGCCGGGCTGGCGACACGCACCATTGGCTTGGTGCGGGGAGCATGAACAGGCCGGGCCGGGCTGGCGACGCGCACCATTGGCTTGGTGCGGGGAGCAGGAACAGGCCGGGCCGGGCTGGCGACGCGCACCGTAGGCTTGGTGCGAGGGGCAGGAACAGGCCGGGCCAGGCTGGCGACGTGCACCGTAGGCTTGGTGCGAGGGACAGGAACAGGCCGGACCGTACTGGGAACACACACCACTGGCCTTACACGGGGATCAGGAACGGGCCGGACCGGACTGGCAACACACCTCAGTACCTCTCGCCGTGCCTCTACATCTTCCTTCCCTCTTCTCACCAATGGCTCCCGTAACCCGGTGGCCTTCTCTCCTCGTCCACGAACTCGCCCCTTATCTGCCTCCAGCAGCCCCGTCGTCCATGCCATGTGCCCCCCCCTAAAAATTTATTGGGGGTGCCTCTCGCCGATCCGACGACGGCCCGGTTGGCGCCGCTGCTCCTCTCTCCGGCGCGCCTCCACCGTCTCCTCCCACGGACGGCGATCCATCCCGGCCTGGATTTCTTCCCAAGTCCAGGACCCCTGCCCGTCCAATATCTGCTCCCACGTCCAGGCTGTCTGCTCCTGGGCACGCTGCTTGGTCCTGTATTGGTGGGATCTTCTGTCACGATCGTCATACACAGAGGACCAAGACGCAGCGTGGAATGCGAACATACTTTTAATTTGAATGATCACACGAACAAAACAACAAAACGATAACGTGATGTCCTTGGTTACAAACACTAACCATACACGGAACAAGATCCCACAATACACTACTGCCAAACGGCTGCCTAAGTATGGTCCCCAATCAGAGACAACAAGCAACAGCTGATTCACGTTGCCTCTGATTGAGAACCACCCCGACCAACATAGCTACACATGAACTAGAACTTAAACACAGAACACAAACACACAGAAACTACACACCCTGGCTCAACATAACAGAGCCCCAGAGCCAGGGCGTGACACCATGCCAGCCCAGGACCTCCACATCTGGCTTCTTCACCTGCGGGATCATTTGAGACCAGCCACCCAGACAGCTGATGAAACTGTGGATTTGCACAACCGAAGAATTTCTGCACAAACTGTCAGAAACCCTCTCAGGGAAGCTCATCTGCGTGCTCGTCGTCCTCACCAGGGTCTTGACCTGACTGCAGTTCGGCATCGTTACTGACTTCAGTGGGCAAATGCTCACCTTCGATGGCCACTGGCACGCAGGAGGAGAATTGTGCTCTTCACGGATGAATCCTGGTTTCAACTGTACTGGGCAGATTGCAGAGCGTCGTGTGGGCGAGCAGTTTTCTGATGGCAATGTTGTGAACAGAGTGCCCCAAGATGGTCATACTATGGATAATTTAGATATTTGATTTTGAATTTTAGGACCCCTTTAGGTATAAAAAATATATATAAAACATTATTTGATAAAGTATTGAATTTGGCCTTTACTACTATAGCCCAGAGAAACGCATTGAATAACACAATCATAAATGGCAAAAAAAAAGAAAGGAAATATAATAAGAAGGTTTTGAAGTGTTTGTTCTTTATCTAGGAGATATTTGCCGGGGTAGTAGCGGTAGCAGCACGCCCAGCATCATTGTCGGGGACGGGGACACGGAAGAGGGCAAGGATGTCACCTCCTCCTCCCACTGCACAGAGCTGTCTCGGCGGCAGAACGAACAGAAGAAGCATGGATTGTTCTGTGACGTGACGCTGGCCTTCAGCAGTGGGGTGGCAACCGGGAATGTTCAGAGCTGTGAGTTTTCTGCTCACCGTTCTGTACTGGCCGCGGCTACGGACTATTTCACTGCGCTGTCGGGTCGGGTTGAGATGAAGGAATGGAGCACTGAATTGGGACCAGACCCGGAGACGGTGGAGAGCGTCATTCAATACATGTACACGGGAGAAATACGTGTGAGCACCTGCAATGTGCATGAAGTATTGGAGCTTACTGACAGGTTCCTGCTGCTGCATCTGAAGGACTTCTATGGGGAGTTCTTGAAGAAGAAGCTGAGCCTGGCCAACTGTGTGGCCGTGCACAGCCAGGCCCACATGTACACCCTGGACCAGCTGGCTCTGCGGGCCGCAGACATGATCCGACGCAATTTCCACAAGGTCATCCAGGATAAGGAGTTCCCTTCCACCTGGTGAGGGACTGGCTGTCTGACGCAGAGATCACCGTGGACGCGGAAGAGGTGTTGTTTGAGGCTGTGGTGAAGTGGGTCCAGAGGAACACAGAACAGCGGTGGAGGTACTTTGAGGAGTTGTTCCGTATCCTCCGGCTACCCCAGATTAAGGCCACCTATCTGACACACGTGGTGAAGAATGAGGCGCTGATGGTGGCCAACGAGGCCTGTCTCCATCTGGTGTCTGATGCCGTGGAGGGCCACGCCATTCCGCTGTGAGAACCTCAAGTCAGCTGACCTGGAGTTCTGGTCGTCCTACATGGCCTCCTTCCAGCCGCGCTTCGGCCAGAACATGGACGTGATCATGGTGGTGGGCGGGGTGTCAGAGGGGGGTGACTACCTGAGTGAATGTGTGGGCTACTTCATCTACGAGGACCGCTGGGTCAACCTGCCCCACATCCACAACCACCTGGATGGCCATGCCATCGCCACCACAGAGTCCCACGTCTACGTAGCACGCTCCATGGAACCGGGCTTTGCCAAGACCGTGGAGCGCTACAACCCCAACCGCAACACCTGGGAACAGGTGAGCAACCTGACCACACGTAAACACTCCTTTGGTCTCACCTGTATCAAAGACATCCTGTATAGCATCGGTGGCCACGGCAACTTCAGCCCGGGCTTCAAGGTCGTGAGCGTGTACGAGCCTGAGCCAGTGGCACAACCTGGAGTCAGCGCCCAAGATCCTGCGGGACGTGAAGGCGGTGAGTGTGGAGGACCGTTATGTATACGTAGAACATGGCTTTTTTGGCGGGAGGTTGTTGTTTTGGGGGATGGTTGTTGTGGTTGGTCCTGTGTTCTCTCTGGCGTCCTTTCCCCCTTGCGGCAGATGTGGATGCAGGTGCGTTTGCACGCTCTGCCCATTTCTTCCGCAGTCAACCATGTGGTGTGCATTTCTGTGTTTGAAAAGGTGCGGTGTTAAGTGAGTGAGAGGGGAAATGGTTGCATATCCCAGAGCCGACCGGGGGTCTATGAGCAGGGGTAGTGAGAGAGAGCTTTCAATTTTGTGTAGATGAGGGATATACATTTTTAAATATAGTATACATCTAATCTAATTTTTCATTGTCCTATCATGATGGAAAGATCCCTAACCCTATAACCTGGACACCCACCTGAGCGACCCATTCACCAAAGAGAAGTTCCCATCTCTTTTATGGACCTGCTGTGACTATGCAGCCTAAACAGAGAAATAAATGCGGTCAGAGACCTACTTGAGCAGCACCGCCCCCTCAAGATTCTGAGCCTGCCTGGCAGGGTTGGTCCTACAAAGCCAGAGCCCCCTGATGGGAGAGCATAATATACAAGGAAATTCTCAAAGCTGCTAATGAGAACCTTGATGACCTTTTACCTAGCCGGTGGGGATTCCGGTGGGGTACGCCCACCCAAGTAGTGGCAGTGCTGGCAACACTGGCTGCAGTAACCCATGGGGAGGGGGTCACACTCGGACAATCAGAGAGGGGGTTTATCATTGCGGCCCAGGTGGCACAAAATAATCAAAGGTCTGACCGCACGGAGATGCTTGGGAAAATGGTTACAACAGCGGATCAGAGTGTTTGTGTCTCAGGTGAAGAGGGTGGATCTGATCTTGACATAGATTAAGTAGATTAATCAAATCTCACATTGTTATCAATTTCTGCTCAATCTGCATGCTTTCTCAATCAGCTTTAACTGTATGTGCACTCGTAAATCAGGTTATTTCTCGAGTTGGGCTCTGGGATATAACAGCCATTGAGTATCTGATTTTATGGTGGATTGTGGAGGAGGGGGGTTGAGTGTGTTGGAGTATGTGAGTATGTGCGTGTGTGCTTGTCTGGCATCTGTTGTGGGGGGGGGGGGGGATGTTGGGGGGGAGGGGGGGGGGGTATGGGATGGACCACGGGAATTATTTGCTAGGATAATAATTGCTTGTCAATGAATTAAATGTAATACAATGGCAATCCGGGTTATATGTTAGAATCCTACGCGTGAACTGCCGACATTATTACGCATATTAATTGATAATGATGGAAAATAGGATATGCATAATTTAAAAAAAATGGTTATATAGATATATATATATATATAGAGGTGAAAGCATTGGAAATGCTTTTGGCGGTTAATCTGCTTCTGTTTTGTGGGTGGCACTGTGTGCTGTTTTCGATGGATGGGTCCTGGCCTCTCGGGGCCTTAGGGATCTGGAGGGACGTGGGTGGGATGGGGAGGGGCATTAGCGGGGGAATTAGTGGAGAACAATTGAAGGGTTACTCCGTAGCAATGCAAATATCACGGTACAGCTATATGGACACTCAATCATTACGGTATTTTTTATTGGTAAATTTACAAACATATATAATGATAAATAGATTTGAAACTTGTATCTCATTATGGTGTATGGTGAAATAAGTATAGCCAGTCATAATTGTAATGGCTTAGCTGATAATAACAAAAGAAGAACAATATTTACATGGCTCAAAGAGAAGGAATATAATATCTATTGTATACAGGAAACTCATTCAACAATTCGAGATGAAGTAGCGTGGAAAAAAGAATGGGGGGAGGAAATATACTTCTCCCATGGGCAAAGAAATTCAAAAGGGGTGATGATATTAATTAATAGTAATTTCGATCCGAATGTGCAAATTGTCCAAATAGATACGCAAGGTAGATGGATTATTTTAAATATGTTATTGGACCATAAACAGATATGGCTCATTAACCTTTACGGACCAAATAATGATGATCCACAATTCTTTGACAATATATATAATAAATGATCAACCCTGCAAGCAATTCAAGACAACATTATTATGGTGGGGGATTATAATACTGTTTTAAATAGCTCAATGGACCGTAAAGGAAATCACACCACAAACAATCACCCACATGCTCTCAAGGAAATTGTGAATGTCATGGATACATTAGAACTAGTAGATATATGGAGGCTTAAATATACTGATCTAGTGAGATATACATGGCGGAGACTGAATCAAGCTAGTCGTCTTGACTTCTTTCTTATCTCATTCTCGTTGGCACCAAAGGTTTAAAAAAAAGTGTTGATAGGGGACAGAATGCGGTCGGACCATCATATAATAGGCATATACATTACTCTTACTGAATTTCCACGTGGGCGAGGATATTGGAAATTTAATCAAAGCCTATTGGATGATAATTTATTTATAACTAGAACAAAGGAATTTATAACTGACTTTTTCCAACATAACATAGGTACAGCGAATCCCCTTATTGTATGGGACACCTTTAAATGTGCCTTTAGAGGCCATGCAATTCAGTACAAATCTCGAAAACAAAAGCAATTTAGGTCAAAAGAGTTTATACTAAGAAAGGAAATAGAAAGTCTAACAGAACAGATACAGTGGGGGAAAAAAGTATTTAGTCAGCCACCAATTGTGCAAGTTCTCCCACTTAAAAAGATGAGAGAGGCCTGTAATTTTCATCATAAGTACACGTCAACTATGACAGACAAAATGAGATTTTTTTTCTCCAGAAAATCACATTGTAGGATTTTTTATGAATTTATTTGCAAATTATGGTGGAAAATAAGTATTTGGTCAATAACAAAAGTTTCTCAATACTTTGTTATAATAACAAAATAATATGCCATTTAGCAGACGATTTTATCCAAAGCGACTTACAGTCATGCGTGCATACATTTTTGTGTATGGGTGGTCCCGGGGATCGAACCCACTACCTTGGCGTTACAAGCGCCGTGCTCTACCAGCTGAGCTACAGAGGACCACGTTATATACCCTTTGTTGGCAATGACACAGGTCAAACGTTTTCTGTAAGTCTTCACAAGGTTTTCACACACTGTTGCTGGTATTTTGGCCCATTCCTCCATGCAGATCTCCTCTAGAGCAGTGATGTTTTGGGGCTGTCGCTGGGCAACACAGACTTTCAACTCCCTCCAAAGATTTTCTATGGGGTTGAGATCTGGAGACTGGCTAGGCCACTCCAGGACCTTGAAATGCTTCTTACGAAGCCACTCCTTCGTTGCCCGGGCGGTGTGTTTGGGATCATTGTCATGCTGAAAGACCCAGCCACGTTTCATCTTCAATGCCCTTGCTGATGGAAGGAGGTTTTCACTCAAAATCTCACGATACATGGCCCCATTCATTCTTTCCTTTACACGGATCAGTCGTCCTGGACCCTTTGCATAAAAACAGCCCCAAAGCATGATGTTTCCACCCCCATGCTTCACAGTAGGTATGGTGTTGTTTGGATGCAACTCAGCATTCTTTGTCCTCCAAACACGATGAGTTGAGTTTTTACCAAAAAGTTATATTTTGGTTTCATCTGACCATATGACATTCTCCCAATCCTCTTCTGGATCATCCAAATGCACTCTAGCAAACTTCAGACGGGCCTGGACATGTACTGGCTTAATTAGGGGGACACGTCTGGCACTGCAGGATTTGAGTCCCTGGCGGCGTAGTGTGTTACTGATGGTAGGCTTTGTTACTTTGGTCCCAGCTCTCTGCAGGTCATTCACTAGGTCCCCCCGTGTGGTTCTGGGATTTTTGCTCACCATTCTTGTGATAATTTTGACCCCACGGGGTGAGATCTTGCGTGGAGCCCCAGATCGAGGGAGATTATCAGTGGTCTTGTATGTCTTCCATTTCCTAATAGTTGCTCCCACAGTTGATTTCTTCAAACCAAGCTGCTTACCTATTGCAGATTCAGTCTTCCCAGCCTGGTGCAGGTCTACCATTTTGTTTCTGTTGTCCTTTGACAGCTCTTTGGTCTTGGCCATAGTGGAGTTTGGAGTGTGACTGTTTGAGGTTGTGGACAGGTGTCTTTTATACTGATAACAACTTCAAACAGGTGCCATTAATACAGGTAACGAGTGGAGGACAGAGGAACCTCTTAAAGAAGAAGTTACAGGTCTGTGAGAGCCAGAAATCTTGCTTGTTTGTAGGTGACCAAATACTTATTTTCCACCATAATTTGGGCCAAAATACCAGCAACAGTGTGTGAAAACCTTGTGAAGACTTACAGAAAACCTTTGACCTGTGTCATTGCCAACAAAGGGTATATAACAAAGTATTGAGAAACTTTTGTTATTGAACAAATACTTATTTTCCACCATAACTTGCAAATAAATTCATAAAAAATCCTACAATGTCATTTTCTGGAATTTTTTTTCTCATTTTGTCTGTCATAGTTGACGTGTACCTATGATGAAAATTACAGGCCTGTCTCATCTTTTTAAGTGGAAGAACTTGCACAATTGGTGTTTGACTAAATACTTTTTTCCCCCACTGTAGATGGCAATAAAAACTGTAACATAGAGGCTCAGAATAAATTAGAGGAAAAACAAAAAGAAATGGAGAAACTTATTCAAGAAAGATCAAGTGTAATATATTATAAAAATAAAGCAAACTGGATGGAATATGGGGAAAAATGCACAAAATTCTTTTTTAATCTTCAACATAGGAATGCTACCAAAAATAACTTAAGGAAACTGGTTACAATTGACGGAGTCACCCATAATTCACCAAATGATATTTTGAAGGAAGAAACAAAGTACTTTGAGCATATGTTTTATTTTCAGTCGCCTCCATCTCCTCTAACTGAAGCTAATTGTAGAGATTTTTTTTCTGTTGATAATGTCAAATTAACAGCCACACAGAAAGACTCATGTGAAGGTGAAATTACAGAGGAGGAACTTCTGGATGCAATTAAAGACTTTAAGTCTGGGAAAACTCCAGGGTTGGATGGCATACCAGTCGAGGTATACCAAACCTTTTTTGATATACTAAGAGGACCGTTATTAGCATGTTTTAACCACTCCTATGTAAATGGTAGATTATCTGACACTCAAGAAGAAGATCTCATTATTACTGAAACAGGATACAAGTGGAAAATATAAAGATCCCAGTCCATTTACAAAATTGGAGGCCCCTTACACTTCAGTGTTGTGATGCAAAAATTCTAGCAAAATGTATAGCGCATAGAATTAAAAAGGTATTGTCGGATATTATTCATTCTAATCAGACAGGTTTTTTACATGGAAGATACATTGGAGATAATATAAGGCAAGTATTGGAAACAATAGAACACGATGGAAAATATGGGAAACCAGGCCTGCTATTCATAGCAGACTTCGAAAAGGCATTTGATAAAGTTTGACTGGGGTTTATGTATAAATGCCTGGAGCATTTCAATTTTGGAGAATCTCTTATAAAATGGGTCAAAATCATGTATAGTAACCCTAGGTGTAAAATAGTAAATAATGGCTATTTCTCCGAAAGTTTTAAACTGTCAAGAGGAGTGAAACAAGGTTGTCCACTATGGGCATATCTATTTATTGTGGCCATCGAGATGTTAGCTATTAAAATCAGATCCAATAATAATATCAGAGGATTAGAAATCCAGGGCTTAAAAACAAAGGTGTCATTGTACGCTGATGATTCATGTTTTCTTTTAAATCCACAACTAGAATCCCTCCACAGCCTCATAGAGGATCTAGATACATTTTCTAACCTCTCTGGATTACAACCAAATTATGACAAATGTACTATATTACGAATTGGATCACTAAAAAATACAATATTTACATTACCATGTAGTTTACCAATAAAATGGTCTGATGGTGATGTGGATATACTCGGAATACATATCCCAAAGGAAATAAATGATCTCACTTCAATACATTTTAATAGAAAGTTAGCAAAAATAGATAAGATCTTACTACAATGGAAAGGAAAATACCTGTCAATTTGTGGAAAAATCACCCTGATTAACTCTTTAGTATTATCCCAGTTTACCTATTTGCTTATGGTCTTGCCTACACCTAGCGAACAGTTTTTTAAATTATATGAGAAAAGAATATTCAATTTTATTTGGAACGGCAAGCCAGACAAAATTAAAAGGATATATTTATATAATGAACATGAATTCGGAGGACAGAAATTATTAAATATTAAAGCATTAGACCTATCACTAAAAGCTTTAGTCATACAAAAGTTATACTTAAATCCGAAGTGGTTCTCAAGCAAATTAGTAAGATTGTCTCACCCAATGTTCAAGAAAGGCCTTTTTCCCTTTATTTAGATTACAACAACTAATTTGCAGTTATTTGAAAAGGAAATCATCTCCCAAATATCACTATTTCTAAAACAAGCCATAGAAAGTTGGTTGCAATTTCAATTTAATCCTCCAGAAACGACAGAACAAATAATGCAACAAATATTGTGGTTAAATTCAAATATACTAATTGACAAACATTTTTTATTTTTTGACAGAATGTTTAAAAAAGGTATAATCTTCGTAAATGATATCATCGGTAGGACTGGTGGAGTTATGTCGCTCATGCAGCTAACAAAAACATATGGAAATGTCTGCTCTACCCAAAATTACAACGAAATAATTGCAGCCTTACCGCAAAAGTGGAAGAGGAAAGTGGAAGGGGGAGAAAGTAAGGAACTTGTCTGTCGGCCTTGCATTAAAGAACATAAATGGTTAAGGAAAACTGTGATAAATAAAAAAGTATATCGGTTTCACTTAAGGACCAAAGGATTGACAGCCGTCCCATATAGATTGCAAAATAGTTGTGAACTGCATGTCAGTTCACATAGTGTTTATGAACTGACATGCAAAACGACACCGGATTCAAAAATTAGAATCTTTCAATTTAAATTATTATATAAAACTCTTGCTACCAATAGAATGTTATTTATATGGGGGACACAATCTTCACAGCTCTGCAGATTTTGCTGTGAAGAGACAGAATCATTATATCATTTGTTTTGGTTCTGTCCATTTGTAGCTTGTTTTTGGACACAGGTCCAGGAATGGCTAAAGGATTGCAATATTTGCCTGGAGCTAACCTTGCAGATAGCATTACTGGGTGATCTGAAAAGTCATAGTCAATCGATCAATAATATAATAATACTTTTAGCAAAAATGTTTATTTTTAATTCACAATCTGTAGAAGCAATGAGAATAGAAAGGTTCAGAACTTTTGTAAAACATCACAGTACGGTTGAAATATATATGGCAAATAGAAATCCTATATGGATGGTGTTAAGAGATAGATGGGAGGTGTTGAATAGAGTTGAAGGATGGGACTAATAACAAATAACAACAAATAATAACAAAGATAGCTAATAATGTAAGCATACTGTGTCCATAATAAGTATATAGGTTGTATGTTGGGAGCTTTTGGGAAAGAGCACATTTAGAAAGATATGGCATATAGAAGCAAACCGGATGGACATCATGAAAATGATCGGAGAGGTTGAGAGTAGAAGAAGTTCAGGAGCAAAAAAAATTAATAATAATAATATATATATATATATATATATATATATATATATATATATAATATAATTATTGTAAATTAACTGTGTCCATAAGGTGTAGATAGTAAGTATAGACCGGAAGTAGAGGCCTGGGCATTGTTGTTCACTAATTTACTCAAGTAAGGAAAGGATGGCGGGGTTGAAAAGTAATAAAGGGGAGTATATATATAAAAAATGGGGGGGGATTGGAAGTGATGCAGACATTACATTGATAGAGATACAATCTATCTGCCATATTAAGCTGATCCACCCCCCCCCCCCCCCCCCCCTCATTTAGTTAAAATTTTACGTTAGGGCTAATAACTTCAAAAGTAACTATTATCATAAATGCATTAATGTTTGAATGTTTGAATAGTCGTCAATCATCATTAAGTAGGCTATACCTATACCCGGATTACCGAGCGCACAGATTGATACAAGGCAAAGTGCAACGAGCAGGCCAAGTCAGATCCATGGAGAAACAATTAGGCTTAGGCTACACCTTGTTCTTTAGAATAAACGGACAGTAAAAAAAATAACATCAATCACGCAAGATCAGGTAGACAACAGTCTACAACATAAGCAGCAGACACATCAATTCGATATTGCTTTCTAGTCAAGCACAAGGAACTGAATCCCATGTGCCTATATTAATAACCTAATAATGTAATATAGAATAGACTACTTTTGATTTCAGATGCCATTTAAAAACAAGCTAGGGAAGAACACTATAGTAAGCCTACTCACCAAATAGATGTGTCGTGTCGTGGGGTAAAAGGTCATTCATGCGCAATCATGCAATGGTAAATGTAAAATTGTCAATCCTTTTTGAAAATTTCAAAGAACAGGCCGAACCTAATCCGGATGAAATCTAAAAAGTGTATTTCAACTGTTAAAATTGAGCGCATGAGACACTTCTCAAATTGTCACCCTTTAAAACATTTACTGTTCCAGACATGAGATGCGCATCTCACTCGCACTGGCAACTTTTTTCTTTTGGAAAAATATTATTTTCTCTTTTATGTGTTATTTACATTTTAGTCATTTAGCAGACGCTCTTATCCAGAGCGACTTACAGTTAGTGAATACATATTTTTTTATACTGGCCCCCCGTGGGAATCGAACCCACAACCCTGGCGTTGCAAACACCATGCTCTATCAACTGACCTACATCCCTGCCAGCCATTCCCTCCCCTGCCCTGGACCAATTGTGCGCCGCCCATGAGTCTCCCGGTCACGGCCAGCTGCGACAGAGCCTGGATTCGAACCAGGATCTCTAGTGGCACAGTTAGCACTGCGATGCAGTGCCTTAGACCACTGCGCCACTCAGGAGCTAGTTATATATTCCATTATATTCTTACTATAAAATAGATGTGTCTTCACTGTGATAAGGGCACGGGAATATAAGAGTATATTTTCTGCTAAATTAACAAACAAGGCTATGCCATTGCAATTGCATATAGCCATAATCACAAGCAGCGAACCAGCAACGCCAGTCCCAGGCCAGGAGGCGCCTCAAGGAGGTATAGCGACAGGAACAGCTGTACATTGTTTTATAAAACCAACTCCTGGATTTAATGAAATCATATATATATACAGTGGGGGAAAAAAGTATTTAGTCAGCCACCAATTGTGCAAGTTCTCCCACTTAAAAAGATGAGAGAGGCCTGTAATTTTCATCATATGTACACGTCAACTATGACAGACAAAATGAGAAAAAAAATCCAGAAAATCACATTGTAGGATTTTTAATGAATTTATTTGCAAATTATGGTGGAAAATAAGTATTTGGTCAATAACAAAAGTTTCTCAATACTTTGTTATATACCCTTTGTTGGCAATGACACAGGTCAAACGTTTTCTGTAAGTCTTCACAAGGTTTTCACACACTGTTGCTGGTATTTTGGCCCATTCCTCCATGCAGATCTCCTCTAGAGCAGTGATGTTTTGGGGCTGTCGCTGGGCAACACGGACTTTCAACTCCCTCCAAAGATTTTCTATGGGGTTGAGATCTGGAGACAGGCTAGGCCACTCCAGGACCTTGAAATGCTTCTTACGAAGCCACTCCTTCGTTGCCCGGGCGGTGTGTTTGGCATCATTGTCATGCTGAAAGACCCAGCCACGTTTCATCTTCAATTATTATTAATGCCTTTGCTGATGGAAGGAGGTTTTGACTCAAAATCTCACGATACAAGGCCCCATTCATTCTTTCCTTTACACGGATCAGTCGTCCTGGTCCCTTTGCAGAAAAACAGCCCCAAAGCATGATGTTTCCACCCCCATGCTTCACAGTAGGTATGGTGTTCTTTGGATGCAACTCAGCATTCTTTGTCCTCCAAACACGACGAGTTGAGTTTTTACCAAAAAGTTATATTTTGGTTTCATCTGACCATATGACATTCTCCCAATCCTCTTCTGGATCATCCAAATGCACTCTAGCAAACTTCAGATGGGCCTGGACATGTACTGGCTTAAGCAGGGGGACACGTCTGGCACTGCAGGATTTGAGTCCCTGGCGGCGTAGTGTGTTACTGATGGTAGGCTTTGTTACTTTGGTCCCAGCTCTCTGCAGGTCATTCACTAGGTCCCCCCGTGTGGTTCTGGGATTTTTGCTCACCGTTCTTGTGATCATTTTGACCCCACGGGGTGAGATCTTGCGTGGAGCCCCAGATCGAGAGAGATTATCAGTGGTCTTGTATGTCTTCCATTTCCTAATAATTGCTCCCACAGTTGATTTATTCAAACCAAGCTGCTTACCTATTGCAGATTCAGTCTTCCCAGCCTGGTGCAGGTCTACAATTTTGTTTCTGGTGTCCTTTGACAGCTCTTTGGTCTTGGCCATAGTGGAGTTTGGATTGTGACTGTTTGAGGTTGTGGACAGGTGTCTTTTATACTGATAACAAGTTCAAACAGGTGCCATTAATACAGGTAACGAGTGGAGGACAGAGGAGCCTCTTAAAGAAGAAGTTACAGGTCTGTGAGAGCCAGAAATCTTGCTTGTTTGTAGATGACCAAATACTTATTTTCCACCATAATTTGCAAATAAATTCATTAAAAATCATACAATGTGAGTTTCTGGATTTTTTTTCTCAATTTGTCTGTCATAGTTGACGTGTACCTATGATGAAAATTACAGGCCTCTCTCATCTTTTTAAGTGGGAGAACTTGCACAATTGGTGGCTGACTAAATACTTTTTTTCCCCACTGTATATATATATATATATATATATATATATATATATATATATATATATATATATATATATAAACAGTACCTGTCAAAAGTTTGGACACACCTACTCATTCAAGGGTTTTTCTTTATTTTTACTATTTTCTACATTGTTTAAAATGAAATAACACATATGGAATTATGTAGTAACCAAAAAAGTGTTAAACAAATCAAAATATATTTTATATTTGAGACAGATTTGCACACTCTTGGCATTCTCTCAACCAGCTTCTTGAGGAATGCTTTTCCAACAGTCTTGAAGGAGTTCCCACATATGCTGAGCACTTGTTGGTTGCTTTTCCTTCACCCTGCAGTCCAACTCATCCCAAACCATTTCAATTGGGTTGAGGTCGGGTGATTGTGGAGGCCAGGTCATCTGATGCAGCACTCCATCACTCTCCTTCTTGGTCAAATAGCCCTTACACAGCCTGGAGGGGTGTTGGGTCATTGTCCTGTTGAAAAACAAATGATAGTCCCACTAAGCGCAAACAAGATGGGATGGCGTATCGCTGCAGAACGCTGTGGTACCATGCTGGTTAAGTGTGCCTTGAATTCTAAATAAATCACAGACAGTGTCACCAGCAAAGCACCCCCACACCATCACACCTCCTCCTCCATGTTTCACGGTAGGAACCACACATGCAGAGATCATCCATTCACCTACTCCGCGTCTCACAAAGACACGGCGGTTAGAACCAAAAATCTCAAATTTGGACTCATCAGAACAAAGGACAGATTTCTACCGGTCTAATGTCCATTGCTCGTGTTTCCAGGTCCAAGCAAGTCTCTTCTTCTTATTGGTGTCCTTTAGTAGGGGTTTCTTTGCAGCAATTCAACCATGAAGGCCTGATTCACGCAGTCTCCTTTGAACAGTTGATGTTGAGATGTGTCTGTTACTTGAACTCTGTGTAGCATTTATTTGGCTGCAATTTCTGAGGCTGGTAAGTCTAATGAACTTATCCTCTGCAGCAGAGGTAACTCTGGGTCTTCCTTTCCTGTGGCGGTCCTCATGAGAGCCAGTTTCATCATAGCGCTTGATGGTTTTTGCGACTGCACTTGAAGAAACTTTCAAAGTTCTAGAAATTTTCCAGATTGACTGACCTTCATGTCTTAAAGTAATGATGGACTGTCGTTTCTCTTTGGTTATTTGAGCTGTTCTTGCCGTAATATGGACTTGGTCTTTTACCAAATAGGGCTATCTTCTGTATACCACCCTTACCTTGTCACAACACAACTGATTGGCTCAAATGCATTAAGAAGGAAAGAAATTCCACAAATTAACTTTTAAGAAGGCACACCTGTTAATTGAAATGCGTTCCAGGTGACTACCTCACGAAGCTGGTTGAGAGAATGCCAAGAGTGTGCAAAGATGTAATCAAGGCAAAGGGTTGCTACTTTGAAGAATCTCAAATATAAAATATATTTGGATTTGTTTAACACTTTTATGGTTACTACATGATTACATATGTGTTATTTCATCATTTTGATGTATTTACTATTATTCTACAATGTACAAAATAGTAAAAATAAAGAAAAACCCTGGAATGAGTATGTGTGTCCAAATTTATATATATACAGTGCCTTCGGAAAGTATTCAGACCGCTTGACTTTTACCACATTTTGTTAGGTTACAGCCTTATTCTAAAATTGATTAAATAGTTTTTTTCCCTCATCAATCTACACACAATTCCCCATAATGACAAAGGAAAAAAACTGCTTTATTTTAGCTAATTTATTACAAATAAAAAACGGAAATATCACATTAACGTAAGTAGTCAGACTCTTTACTCAGTACTTTGTTGAAGCACCTTTGGCAGTGATTACAGCCTTGAGTCTTCTGGGTATGACACTACAAGCTTGGCACACCTGTATTTGGGGAGTTTCTCCCATTCTTCTCTACAGATCCTCTCAAGCTCTGTCAGATTGGATGGGGAGCGTTGCTGCACAGCTATTTTCTGGTCTCTTTAGAGATGTTAGATCGTGTTCAAGTCCAGGCTCTGGCTGGGCCACTCAAGGATATTCAGATACTTGTCCCGAAGCGACTCCTGCGTTGTCTTGATCCTGAGTGCTCTGAAGCAGGTTTTCATCAAGGATCTCTCTGTACTTTGCTCCGTTCATCTTTCGCTCAATCCTGACTAGTCTCCCAGTCCCTGCTGCTGAAAAACATCCCCACAGCATGATGCTGCCACCACCATGCTTCACCGTAGGGATGGTGCCAGGTTTCCTCCAGATGTGATGCTTGGCATTCAGGCCAAAGAGTTCAATCTTGGTTTCATCAGAGCATAGAATCTTGTTTCTCATGGTTTGAGTCTTTAGGTGCCTTTTGGCAAACTCCAAGCGGGCTGTCATATGCCTTTTACTGAGGAGTGGCTTCCATCTGGCCACTCTACCATAAAATCCTGATTGGTGGAGTGCTGCAGAGATGGTTGTCCTTCTGGAAGGTTCTCCCATCTCCACAGAGGAACTCTAGAGCTCTGTCAGAGTGACCATCGGGTTCTTGGTCACCTCCCTGACCAAGGCCCTTCTCCCCCGATTGCTCTGTTTGGACAGGCGGCCAGCTCTAGGAAGAGTCTTGGTGGTTCCAAACTTCTTCCATTTAAGAATGATGGAGGCCACTGTGTTCTTGCGGACCATCAATGCTACAGAAATGTTTTGGTACCCTTCCCCAGAAAATAACCTCTCACTCAACGTCAACAAAGCAAAGGAGATGATCGTGGACTTCAGGATACAGCAGAGGGTGCACCCCCCCTATCCACATCGACGGGACCGCAGTAGAGAAGGTGGAAAGCTTCAAGTTCCTTGGCATAAACATCACCGACAAACTGAAATTGTCCACCCACGCAGACAGTTTGGTGAAGAAGGCACAACAGAGCCTCTTCAACCTCAGGAGGCTGAAGAAATTCGGCTTGGCACCTAAAACCCTCACAAACTTTTACAGATGCACAATTGAGAGCATCCTGTCGGGCTGTATCACCACCTGGTATGGCAACTGCACCGCCCGTAACTGCAGGGCTCTCCAGAGGGGGGTGTGGTCTGCCGAACGCATTATCGGGGGCAAACTACCCGCCCTCCAAGACACATACAGCACCCGATGTCACAGGAAGGCCAAAAAGATCATCAATGACATCAACCACCCGAGCCACTGCCTGTTCACCCCGCTATCATCCAGAAGGTGAGGTCAGTACAGGTGCATCAAAGCTGGGACCGAGACAATGAAAAACAGCTTCTATCTCAAGGCCATCAGACTGTTAAATAGCCATCACTAGCACATTAGAGGCTGCTGCTGCCTATTGAAATCACTGGCCACTTGGAACACTAGTCTACAGTCACTTTAATAATGTTTACATGTCTTGCACTACTCATGTATATACTGCATTCTATTCTATAATATTCTACTGTATTTTAGTCCATGCCGCTCTGTCATTGCTTGTCCATATATGTATATTTTCTTAAATTCCATTCCTTACTATTTTTGCGTGTATTAGGTATATGTTGTGAAATTGTTAGATAGTACTTGTTAGATATTACTGCACTGTCAGAGCTAGAAGCACAAGCATTTCGCTACACCCGCTATAACATTTGATTTGATTTGTTTTGTGTTCGACACAATCCTGTCTCAGAGCTCTATGGACAATTCCTTCGACCTCATGGCTTGGTTTTTGCTTTGACATGCACTGTCAACTGTGGGACCTTATACAGTATAGACAGGTGTGTGCCTTTCCAAACCATGTCCAATATATTGCATTTACCACAGGTGGACTCCAATCAAGTTGTAGAAACATCTCAAGGATGATCGATGGAAACAGGATGCACCTGAGCAAAATTTCGAGTCTCATAGAAAAGGGTCTGAATACTTATGTAAATAAAGTATTTATGTTTTGTATTGTTAAGAAATGTGCAAACATTTCTAAAAACCTGTTTTTGCTTCATCATTATGGGGTATATTTCCTTTACACGGATCAGTCGTCCTGGTCCCTTTGCAGAAAAACAGCCCCAAAGCATGATGTTTCCACCCCCATGCTTCACAGTAGGTATGGTGTTCTTTGGATGCAACTCAGCATTCTTTGTCCTCCAAACACGACGAGTTGAGTTTTTACCAAAAATTTCTATTTTGGTTTCATCTGACCATATGACATTCTCCCAATCCTCTTCTGGATCATCCAAATGCACTCTAGCAAACTTCAGACGGGCCTGGACATGTACTGGCTTAAGCAGGGGGACACGTCTGGCACTGCAGGATTTGAGTCCCTAGTGGCGTAGTGTGTTACTGATGGTAGGCTTTGTTACTTTGGTCCCAGCTCTCTGCAGGTCATTCACTAGGTCCCCCCGTGTGGTTCTGGGATTTTTGCTCACCGTTCTTGTGATCATTTTGACCCCACGGGGTGAGATCTTGCGTGGAGCCCCAGATCGAGGGAGATTATCAGTGGTCTTGTATGTCTTCCATTTCCTAATAATTGCTCCCACAGTTGATTTCTTCAAACCAAGCTGCTTACCTATTGCAGATTCAGTCTTCCCAGCCTGGTGCAGGTCTACAATTTTGTTTCTGGTGTCCTTTGACAGCTCTTTGGTCTTGGCCATAGTGGAGTTTGGAGTGTGACTGTTTGAGGTTGTGGACAGGTGTCTTTTATACTGATAACAACTTCAAACAGGTTCCATTAATACAGGTAACGAGTGGAGGACAGAGGAGCCTCTTAAAGAAGAAGTTACAGGTCTGTGAGAGCCAGAAATCTTGCTTGTTTGTAGGTGACCAAATACTTATTTTCCACCATAATATGCAAATAAATTCATAAAAAATCCTACAATGTGATTTTCTGGATTTTTTTTGTGTACCTATGATGAAAATTACAGGCCTCTCTCATCTTTTTAAGTGGGAGAACTTGCACAATTGGTGGCTGACTAAATACTTTTTCCCCCACTGTATATATATATATACAGTGGGGAGAACAAGTATTTGATACACTGCCGATTTTGCAGGTTTTGCTACTTACAAAGCAGGTAGAGGTCTGTATTTTTTATCATAGGTACACTTCAACTGTGAGAGACAGAATCTAAAACAAAAATCCAGAAAATCACATTGTATGATTTTTAAGTAATTCATTTGCATTTTATTGCATGACATAAGTATTTGATACATCAGAAAAGCAGAACTTAATATTTGGTACAGAAACCTTTGTTTGCGATTACAGAGATCATACGTTTCCTGTAGGTCTTGACCAGGTTTGCACACACTGCAGCAGGGATTTTGGCCCACTCCTCCATACAGACCTTCTCCAGATCCTTCAGGTTTCGGGGCTGTCGCTGGGCAATATGGACTTTCATCTCCCTCCAAAGATGTTCTATTGGGTTCAGGTCTGGAGACTTGCTAGGCCACTCCAGGACCTTGAGATGCTTCTTACGGAGCCACTCCTTAGTTGCCCTGGCTGTGTGTTTCGGGTCATTGTCATGCTGGAAGACCCAGCCATGACCCATCTTCAATGCTCTTACTGAGGGAAGGAGGTTGTTGGCCAAGATCTCGCGATACATGGCCCCATCCATCCTCCCCTCAATACAGTGCAGTCGTCCTGTCCCCTTTGCAGAAAAGCATCCCCAAAGAATTATGTTTCCACCTCCATGCTTCACGGTTGGGATGGTGTTCTTGGGGTTGTACTCATCCTTCTTCTTCCTCCAAACACGGCGAGTGGAGTTTAGACCAAAAAGCTCTATTTTTGTCTCATCAGACCACATGAACTTCTCCCATTCCTCCTCTGGATCATCCAGATGGTCATTGGCAAACTTCAGACGGGCCTGGACATGCGCTGGCTTGAGCAGGGGGACCTTGCATGCGCTGCAGGATTTTAATCCATGACGGCGTAGTGTGTTACTAATGGTTTTCTTTGAGACTGTGGTCCCAGCTCTCTTCAGGTCATTGACCAGGTCCTGCCGTGTAGTTCTGGGCTGATCCCTCACCTTCCTCGTGATCATTGATGCCCCACGAGGTGAGATCTTGCATGGAGGCCCATCCCGAGGGTGATTGACCGTCATCTTGAACTTCTTCCATTTTCTAATAATTGCACCAAAAGTTGTTGCCTTCTCACCAAGCTGCTTGCCTATTGTCCTGTAACCCATCCCAGCCTTGTGCAGGTCTACAATTGTATCCCTGATGTCCTTACACAGCTCTCTGGTCTTGGCCATTGTGGAGAGGTTGGAGTCTGTTTGATTGAGTGTGTGGACAGGTGTCTTTTATACAGGTAACGAGTTCAAACAGGTGCAGTTAATACAGGTAATGAGTGGAGAACAGGAGGGTTTCTTAAAGAAAAACTAACAGGTCTGTGAGAGCCGGAATTCTTACTGGTTGGTAGGTGATCAAATACTTATGTCATGCAATAAAATGCAAATTAATTACTTAAAAATCATACAATGTGATTTTCTGGATTTTTGTTTTAGATTCTGTCTCTCACAGTTGAAGTGTACCTATGATAAAAATTACAGACCTCTACATGCTTTGTAAGTAGGAAAACCTGCAAAATATGCAGTGTATCAAATACTTGTTCTCCCCACTGTACATACATTAGAATAAAATAACACAATCATGGTAAGCACAAATAAAACATCATAAATCACCAAGAAAAACAGTTACATTCATCGACAAATAAATCCCCAATCAATACTTTCAATTGCCCAATGGCACCAAAACATCAAGATGAAATGTATTTTGAATTTTGTTCCAGAAATACGGTGCATTAAAACTAAAAGCAGATTTATCTAGCTCGGTGGAGACCCTAGGAACCTCAAGAGTTAACCAATTCTGTGACCGGGTTAGGCAACTCAGGTGTCTATACAACAGTAAAAGTAGATAAGACGGAAGTTTATGAAGTAGGGCCTTGTAAACAAAAAGGGAGTAATGTAGAGATCTACGGGTCTTTAGCAATGAGTATCAAAACTGTCGCCTGTAACAAAACGAAGGGCATTGTGGTAGATGACATCCAAAGGTTTAAGTGTAGTAGCAGCTGCACTTTGATAAATACTATCACTATAATCAAGAACAGATAAAAAGGTTGACTGAATAATCTGCTTTCTACTGCTTAGAGAAAGGCACAATCTGTTTCTGTAGAAGAAGCCAACTTTAAATCTTAGCTTCTTAACCAGCTCAACTATATGTTTTTTAAATGTCAAATCCATATCAATCCAAATGCCTAAGTATTTAAATGTTGCAACACGTTCAGTGAAATTGGTACAGAGCTCTCACTTACGGGAGGCACAAATGTAGCCTCTTTCAAGGCAATCCTCAAAAGATTTTAATGAGCCAGAAATAGCAATACCCTGGAACAAATACACTGTAAAAAAAGAAATAAAAAATAATTTTGTTTTTACGGAAAATTACTGGCAGCCAGTTACCTGTAAGTTACTGTAAAAAAAGTACATACTGTATTTACAGGTAACTGGCTGCCAGTAAGTTACCGTGAAAACAACAGGATTTATTTTACAGTGTAGTGGTAGAAAGGTTTTTGGTGCTCGAAAACTGCGATATGGTACTGTATTCTGTGGGGTGGAAATACAGTACCATTGAAAATACGGCATTTATTTCCCTGCCCACAACATTTTCCCACAATGCACCATAATTGACAGCACATTTTGCTGCTGTATATAGTATGCTGCAGTATAATGCTTCACAGTATTTTACTGTTGATAAATGTACAAATGTACCGTATAAATTACAGTTTTTCATTACAGTGTAATATTCAGTGTATTTATCTTTGTAAATCGTAGAAATGTTGTACACACCTTGTTTGTTTGGTTCACTTCAGACCTTGACCCCTTTCAATCCTATCACTGAGAATTGTTCAAAATAGTTGCAAATTGGCAATCACACAATGCTGTGCGGTTACAGAAATGTACTGTTAAACCCACGTTTTTTAGAATTTACGGTTTAATTGACTGTTTATGCCTAAAATCACCCATTTTGCATTGCAAATAATGAATATGTTACTTTACTGTTAGTTTTATTGTATAATACTGTAGAGTTTTTTTTTTTACAGTCTGTTCAATCTTTCCGATCCTCACCAATACATGTTTCCTCCCTATGCCTCCATCCCAGGTGACCTACATTGGAAATCAACAATTCCGTTCTTTGTCCCATTTTTTTATCCAACACTCATGTGGAAGCGCAATTATTTACCAGACCCACTTAGGCTCTACAGTCCGCGTGAGATATGAACATAATTGCATGTTCTTTTTTAATTACAGTGAAAAACCCAGAACTTGTAGGATGAGGAGCTGCAAGGTGCCATTGCATTGTTAATTCCTTATCCTGCTCCTCTGATCGTGTGCACAGCGCTCCTTTGCTAAGTGATGATAAACTGAATATCCATGTTCACCGCATAATTAATCCATCTCGCGGCGCGTGCTTCCCTCCGCCAAGTCAGATGTTATCGCACACACATGCCTGAATTGCGGTGGAATCCTCCCTCTGTTGGAACTTATTGATGTTCCATAAAAGGAGAGGTGGAAATCCTTCAATTTCAGTCACAGATTGGTGAATAGATAAAAGCTTGTACAACCTTATAGCTCCTATTGTATGATAGCTAAAGAAGTAAAATGTGTCCTGGGATGCATTCTGAGCCTAAAACCCTGAATGATATACAGTTGAAGTCAGAAGTTAACATACACTTAGGTAGAAGTCATTAAAACTTGTTTTTCAACCACTCCACAAATGTTTTGTTAACAAACTATAGTTTTGGTAAGTCGGTTAGGACATCTACTTTGTGCATGACACAAGTAATTTTTCCAACAATTGTTTACAGACAGATTATTTCACTTATAATTCACTGTATCACAATTCCAGTGGGTCAGAAGTTTACACACACTAAGTTGACTGTGCCTTTAAACAGCTTGGAAAATTCCAGAAAATGATGTCATGGCTTTAGAAGGTGCTGAAGGCTAATTGATATCATTTGAGTCAATTGGAGGTGTACCTGTGGATGTATTTCAAGGCCTACCTTGAAACTCAGTGCCTATATGCTTGACATCATGGGAAAATCAAAAGAAATCAGCCAAGACCTCAGAAAAAAATTTGACGGCAGAGAGAGCACATCCACATCGACGGGGCCACAGTGGACAGGGTCAAAAGCTTCAAGTTCCTTGACGTGCACATCACTGACAACCTGAAATGGTCCCTTCACACAGACAGAGCGGTGAAGAAGGCGCAACATGCCTCTTCAACCTCAAGAGGTTGAAGAAATTCGGCTTGGCCCCTAAGACCCTCACAAACTTCTACAGATGCACCATTGAGAGCATCCTGTCCGTTCATCTTTCCCTTGATCCTGACTAGTCTCCCAGTCCCTGCCGCTGAAAAACATCCCCACAGCATAATGCTGCCACCACCATCCTTGATGGTGCCAGTTTTCCTCCAGACGTGACGCTTGGCATTTAGGAGTGGCTTCCGTCTGGCCACCCTATCACAAAGGCCTGATTGGTGGAGTGCTGCAGAGATGGTTGTCATTCTGGAAGGTTCTCCCATCTCCACAGAGGAACTCTGGAGCTCTGTTAGCGTGACCTCCCTGACCAAGGTCCTTCTTCCCCGATTGCTCAGTTTGGACGTGCGGCCAGCTCCAGGAAGAGTTTTGGTGGTTTAAGAATGATGGAGGCCACTCTGTTCTTGGGGACTTTCAATGCCACAGAAATGTTTTGGTACCCTTCCCCAGAGCTGTGCCTCGACACAATCATGTCTCGGAGCTCTACGGACAATTCCTTCGACCTCATGGCTTGGTTTTTGCTCTGACATGCATTGTCAACTGTGGGACCTTATATAGACAGGTGCCTTTCCAAATCATGTAATTGACTAAACCCTAAACTGCTTGGAGTAACCCTGGATTGTAAACTGTCATGGTCAAAACATATTGATACAACGTCAGCTAAGATGTCGAGAAGTCTGTCCATAATAAAGTGCTACCTTCTTAACAACGCTATCAACAAGCCAGGTCCTACAGGTCCTAGTTTTGTTACACCTGGACTACTGTTCAGTCGTGTGGTCAAAGAGGGACTTAGGAAAATTACAATTGGCTCCGAACAGAGCAGCACTGCTGGCCCTTAAAAGTACACAGGGAGCTAACATTAATGACATGCATGTCAATCTCTCATGGCTCAAAGTGGAAGAGAGATTGACTTCATCACTACTTGTTTTTGTAAGATGTGTTGACAAGCTGAATGTACCGAGCTGTCTGTTTAAACTACTGGCACAGAGCTTGGACACCCATACATACCCCACAAGACCTGCCACCAGAGGTCTCTTCACAATCCCCAAGTCTAGAACAGACTATGGGAGGCATGATCCAGGCTCTGTCGCCGCCGGCCGCGACCGGGAGACTCATGGGCGGCGCACAATTGGCCCAGCGTCGTCCAGGGTAGGGGAGGGAATGGCCGGCAGGGATGTAGCTCAGTTGATAGAGCATGGCGTTTGCAACGCCAGGGTTGTGGGTTCGATTCCCACGGGGGGCCAGTATAAAAAAATATATATGTATTCACTAACTGTAAGTCGCTCTGGATAAGAGCGTCTGCTAAATGACTCTATTCCACATCAGGTAACTGATGCAAGCAGTAGAATCAGATTTTAAAAAACAGGTAAAAATACACCTTATGGAACAGCGGGGACTGCGAAGAGACACATACAGTGAGGGAAAAAAGTATGTGATCCCCTGCTGATTTTGTATGTTTACCCACTGACAAAGAAATGATCAGTCTATAATTGTAATGGTAGGTTTATTTGAACAGAATAACAACAAGAAAATCCAGAAAAACGCATGTCAAAAATGTTATAAATTGATTTGCATTTTAATGAGGGAAATAAGTATTTGACCCCCTCTCAATCAGAAAGATTTCTGGCTCCCAGGTGTCTTTTATACAGGTAACGAGCTGAGATTAGGAGCACACTCTTAAAGGGAGTGCTCCTAATCTCAGTTTGTTACCTGTATAAAAGAAACCTGTCCACAGAAGCAATCAATCAGATTCCATTCTTATGTAAATAAGGTATTTCTGTTTTATATTTTTTTATACATTTGTAAAAATTTATAAAAACCTGTTTTCAGTTTGTCATTATGGGGTATTGTGTGTAGATTTATGAGGAAAATGTTTTATTTGATACATTTTAGAATAAGGCTGTAACGTAACAAAATGTGGAAAAAGGAAAGGGGTCTCAATACTTTGCACTGTATATACTGTATTCTAGTCATGGCTCATCCCATATAACTTATTTTTAAATTTTTCTGGATTACGGAGCTAGACACACAAGCATTTCACTGCACCTGCGATAACATACAATTTTATTTTATTTGAACTTTTACCGTTGAAAAGCGAAATCCCAAGTATAGATACATTAAAGTATGCACACTAAAGGGTAAAACAATACGTTTTGAGCAAAATAGTGTTTTTTAGACACAACCCCACACTTCAAGGAGGAGGGCATTCAAAGTGTCATTTGCCTCCCTCCATGCTTGAGGAACAATAGAAGATGTCATAATTTACCTTGACCACATATTGAGATGTGCCTTTTGTTAAGTAAATCATGTGTTAAATTAGGTGAAAATGAGACTGGAGTGCCACTTTAAGGCTGTCTAGAAGTCCAAGTGATATAAAATACCCTGTTTCAGTATTTTATATCACTTGCACTTCTAGAGGCCTTAATAAAGGCTTCCAAACTGGCAGTGACTACAGGGTAAAACAGACCAAAGGACATGGCAAATACTCACCCATTAGAGGTTTGCGACTAGCTGCCACTCCAATCTGTCCCCTATACACATTTAATTGTTGGGGCACTGCTACCATATATCAGATAAATTGGTACTGCACCCTCACTAACGGGTGGCACAAATGTATCCTCTTACAAGGCACCTCAAAATCTGTTCATGAGCCAGAAACAACGATACCATGCAACCAGTAGTGGTCAAAAGGTTTTTGGCGCTCCAAAAATACGGTACGGTACTGTATTCTGTGGGGTGGAATTACGGTACCATTCGAAATACAGCAATTCTTTCCCTGCCCACAACATTTTCCTACATTGCAGTATGCTGCAGTATAATGCTTTAAAGTATTTTAGTGTTGACAAATGTAGCGTATAAATCACAGTTTCTTTATTGCCGTGTAATGTTCGGTGTAATCAATTTAGGTGAATCATATACAGTAAATGTTGTACACACCTTTTTTGGCTGATTCACTTCAGACCTTGATGTCTCTCAATCCTATCACTCAGAATTGTTTGAAAAAGTTGCATGTTGCCAATCCCACAATGCTGTGCAGTTACAGTAATGTAGGCCTACTGTTAAAGTTTATTTTGCAATATACTGTAAATAATGTATGGTACTCATTAAAGTTGTACAGTGTGGGAATAATGTGTCTGAGAGTATTGTAGAAACACTCTTTTCATGCCACTTCGATACAGCTACAACCGGAAGTGACTTTTTTTTGTAGCAGGTTAGGAGAACTTATGCAGCAGGTTCGGATAATTAACATAGTAGGTTAGGAGACAGTTTATGGTTAGAAAAAGGGTTGTCGTTAGCGAAAAGGCTATCTGAGAGTATTGCGCCTACAGCTACGGAACACCGGGAGGCACACACCTCTTTCTGAAACAAAAACGCAACCTTCTGTCAACGTCTCGCTTCAGTTCAAGCGGACAACACAGCCCTCTCATAGGACGAGGTACGAGCGCAAGAGATAAGCTAAATACAGCACGGGTGCTTGAATCGTTTTATGTCAGTTACATGTAGCCTACTCTTCAAGACCTATACAGTGGTTGGCATTTGGATGAATCAAAAGGCATATTTGAGAAAAGTATAGAAGGATTATTTGAGCAGCTCTCAGCTCTGAGCACTGAGCAGGCATGTCCCGAAGGAAGCAGAGCAATCCAAGGCAATTTAAACGTAAGTAGATTTTTCTCTCCATCTTTTGTGTTGCTTTATTAAAACACAGACAGTTTAGGCTACTGAAATATTTACGAATCAAAAGTTGATTGTAATAAGGTCTCTGACTCTATTGTGAGATTCTTTATAGCCTTACCATATATGTTGAAAAAAAAAGCATGTGTTGAAATATACAACTGTATTTGAAAGAAATCATCATCATTATATCAATAGGCCTATATAATATATAATGCATGGTCACAATCATTTATAAATAGTTGTATACAACATTTTCTGGAGTTTAGTGAAATGTTGTCATTTCTGCTAATTTTATTAGTGCCGCCAACTTTTTTGTTGTTGCTCTTTTCATAATATTTCTTAGAAGTGTTGAAACAGTTATTATTGAATACAATGTATCCATGTGTTCCATCAGCGATATTTACTTTTACTGGATTCCTCTTTA